GTTATGGCAGGGACTGCCTTCCCTATTCCTCTTGAGCGGCAACACGTGGTTCGTCCACAGCTCCGACATTTTCACAAAAGCCTAAAGCATCTCTACAGATTTTTGCAGTCGCACCTTGTCATTCTGAAAAAAGGAAAAAAAAAAAAAGGTTGCTGATCGGGTGCCTGACCGCACAGGTCAACTTTGTCAGTACATGTCGCAAACCTCTCGTGTGCAGGAAAGGTGACAGTGACCCCACGGTCCTGAAGGTGTCCAACACCCACCAAGTTCCTAGAGAACGAGGGGATGTGAAGACCGATGAGGGAACCAGAGGGGACGGCCGGACACGGAAGCGCGGTAGAACAGCGAGCGAAGGGTGGTCCATAAGTGGGATCAGCCAAAGCAACTGGGACTGGTGCAGAGAGCAGCGCTACTATGGTGTGGTCGTACAAGAAGCACTGGGACGCACTGGAATCAATCGTGAAGGAGAGCGACACGCCAGCAAACGCCACGCATGGGCTAGTAACTACACACGGGCCTACACTAGCAACAGGGAAGGATCCTAACTTAGGTACACTCAAGTGAACAGATTCGACAGTACTAGGGGCATCGAAAAGCACAGCAGAGGTGAATTTGATCTTTGGACATATCAAACAAAAGAAAACTATCACAAAGCAGACCAGGCCAGCACAAAGGAAACGAGTCAGGCCTGAAACGCTCACGGTAAAGGTCGTCGAGGTGACTCAAGCAGCGCAACGCAGAGTAGTTAGGACGGTTGCAGGTAGTGCCAGCACGAGGGCCAGTAAGGATCCGGTACTGGCTGGGCCGCTGCTGGGGCCGACACCCCTCGGGACACCAGGCCCCCACGGCTGCTATGGGCACCACTGCTAATGGGGACGCCACCGCTGCTTTCCCCACTGCTGAAATAGTTGTGGCTGCAGTTCCTGTTACTGCAAAATTCTAGCGGACGCCATGATAAAAGCTAGCTGGGGGTAGGAGCGGCAGGCTAGAAACGGCTGGAGCAAGAGTGGATGGAGGTAGGAAGGGCTGGAGCTAGGAGCGGCTGGAGCAAGGGACCGTTGGAGCTAGAAGCGACTAAGAACACCAATCTACTGCTGGAGCGAGGAGCGGCTGGAGCTAGAGGCGGCTAAAGCTAGGAACGGCCGGAGCGAGACAGGCCTGGAGCTAAGGGCTGCTGAAGCGAGGAGCAGCTGGAGCGATACTAGGAACTACCAACAAAGAAACAGAAGCTTAGGAATATTCAGCTTAGGAATATTCAGCTTAGGAATATTCAGCTTTCCCCACTGCTGAAATAGTTGTGGCTACAGTTCCTGTTACTGCAAAATTCTAGCGGACTCCATGATAAAAGCTAGCTGGGCGTAGGAGCGGCAGGCTAGAAACGGCTGGAGCAAGAGTGGATGGAGGTAGGAATGGCTGGAGCTAGGAGCGGCTGGAGCAAGGCACCGTTGGAGCTAGAAGCGACTAAGAACACCAATCTATTGCTGGTGCAAGGAGCGGGTGGAGCGAGGAGCGGCTGGAGCTAGAGGCGGCTGAAGCTAGGAACGACCGGAGCGAGACACGCCTGGAGCTAAGGGCTGCTGAAGCTAGGAGCAGCTGGAGCGATACTACGAACTACCAACAAAGAAACAGAAGCTTAGGAATATTCAGCTAGGCAAGGCGGGCTAGGAACGCCAGTTGGGGCACAAACCGAAACTACGCAAGAAAAGTGACTGCGGCTGCCCGCCGCTGCTAGAGGTGCCAATGGCAGGAGGCGTGCACGAGACAGTGGGCACTGGTGGGGCTAGCACTGCTTGTGGCTGGTAATGCTGGTGCTACTAGCATTATTGGTGTCTGGTGGTGGCAGTAGCGGTAGCTGTGTGTGTGGTTGTCGCTGCCGAGAGGGGCTGTGGGTGGCTGGGAATGTCTGTGGGCTGCTGGAAAGGGCTGTGGGCGGCTGAGAAGGGCTGTAGGCGGCTACGAGCGGCTGTAGGCAGCCATGGGCGGCAGTGGGTGGCTGTACGCGGCTATGGACGGTTAGAGGGCGGCCATAGGTGGTTGTGGGCGGCTGCTAGCGCTGTGGCAGCTGGTAGGGTGATTTGGGCGGCTACTGGCATATGTGGGCCCTTGCGCGCGGCTATGGGAGGCTGTAGGTGGAAATGGGCGGAAGTAGGAGGAAGTGGGCAGTTACGAGGAGCTGTGGGCGGTTTGGAGGGGTCGTAGGCGGCTGGGAGGGGATGTGGGCAGCTAGGAGGGGCTGTGGGCGGTTAGGAGGGGTTTTAGGCAGCTGTCGGCAGCTGGGAGCGTGCGACTGCTCGCTGCTTAGCGCAGCTGCGGGCGGCAGGTCGCGTGCACGGCTGTTTCTACTGCGGAATGTGAGTTTGCCATGCGTGCGGCTGCTGCAGCTGCTGCGTGCGCGCCCACTGCATGCATTTGCGGCTGCAGTGGCGTGCGCGGCTACCGCTGGCTAACGCGCGCACTGATGCTGCTGGTGCGTGTGTGGCTGCTGCGTGCATGCGCGGCTGCTGTTGCGTGCACGATTGGAGTCGTGTGCGTGGCTGTTGGTGGCTAATCGCGACTACATGGGCCCGCGGGGGGCCTTATGGAGGGTGACGAAATGGGCCCTTCTTGAGAGTGACGAAACGAGGGCTCGCGGGGGCCCCTGAATGCGACTAAACGAGCATATAGGGGCCTTTGAACGTGACCAAAAGGGCCCCACGAGGGCCTGTGAACGCAATAAAACGGGCCCGCGGGGGCCTTTGAACACAACGAAAACAAGGCCCGCGGGGGGCGTCCTACCTACAACGAAACGGAGCCTAAGGGATGGGTGCCTCAGCTGAAACCACTAAGGAAAGGAGCAGAAGCGTGCATTCCGAAATTGTCTTCGGAGGGGGGTCCCTTTGAAAAAACGAAGTTGGTGGCATGTGTCTGGGTTTGCTGTCGAGATGTTCTGTGGTGTATATTCATACCCTATTAGATGGCCACTTTGGGTGCAACACGCATACAAAGCGTAACTACCAATAGATGGGGAGCTGCATGCTGCACAGGACACATGTTTTTTATCATTGCCGTATGCCTTTGCGACTATGTGTGATTTCAACCCTTATTCTCTTATGTATCATCCAAAGTGGGTGCATTTTTTTTTTTCGCAAGTGAGTATTGAACGTTTTGTAATAGTCCTAAACGTGAAGCCCTGTAATGCATTTGTAAGTGTGTTTATTGCGGCAATAATTTTGCCTAATCGTGCACCAATGAAAATGCAATACAAAAAATAATATGTATGCGAGTCGTGTATTCACATTGTTTATTGTAGACAATGGAGCTCATTATCGGGACATGCTATTATCAGGACATTGACACATTGTCTGTACTTGTCATGGACCACACCTGGCATGCCTCCGCGCGCTGGTCGTGGACACATTGTGTGTACCTTGAATGTATCCCAAGATGTATGGACAATGTAACATAAGTTCAATCTGAGGGCCTGCTGGCAAATATGCAAATAAATTCTAAAGCATCAGACGCAAGCAAGTCGGGAAATTGATCGTACCGTTAACTTTTAACATGAACTCTGATTAGCACTACTCTCACTCTTATTGATGGGCTCCAGCCATTGCAACAGTCGCTGTTGCAATCTGCCCATTGACGAGGAAAAGCGGGGTGGGGGGTGGGAAGAGGAGATTCGACAGGTGGAAGGATGATGGGTCTAGAGGGGCAGGAAGGGGGTAAACAGGGGGAGGAAAGGTGGGGGAAAAGGGAGCAGGGGATAAGGGGGAAGGGATGCATCAGAGCGAAGGAGAGAGGTGGAGGAAGGAGAGGAGAAGAGGGGGAAAACAAGGTGAGGGAGAAATCAAGGGAGGGGAGAAGATTGACGAATCAGGAAAGTGCAGCAGAGGTAAAAAAACGTTGGAGGGAGAGAAGGGTGAGCTCCCAACCGGTGATGACCGGGAGGGGACATGGCAGGCGGGTCGGACATAGGGCCAGGGGGGTGTCAAGGGTAGCGGGCTGGAGTAGGTGCCATGAGGTTTATCGAGTCCGCTAGAGGGCAGAATCATTTGCTTGCTTGCTTGTTTGCCTGTGGAATTGCTTGACTGCTTGTATGGTTTGCTGGTCCAGTCGTCTTTCTGTCTGCTTGCTTACATGCATGCTTGCTTGTTCCTTAGTCTGCTTGCCTGGCGACTTGCATGCTAGTTGTCTCTTTGCTTGGTGGCTACCTCGTCTGTCTGCTAGTAAGTTGTCTCTGCAGGACTATTAGTTTGGAAGATTGGTAGTAGATTGCTTTCATGCCTATGACTATCTAGCACCTGCCCCTACCGAGGACTTCGAGACGTTACAACGTAGAATAATCTGGAAGGGAAAAAAATAGAAAGGGCAAGCGATAATTGGAAGGGATATAATGGATGAAGGAGGAAGAAGATGAGGGGGTGGAGGCATGTGCAAGGGAAGAGGAATGTAATGAAAGAGGAGGGGAGGGGTGAAGGGAAAAAAATAAGAGTGCAAGAGTGATTGTGCAAAAGAGATGAGAATATCAAATCACGAGAGTGCAAAAATAGGAGATGACATACCGTACGACAACAAAGAGGAAGGACAATTGAAAGGGGTAGTGGGGTGGCGTGCAACAAAGAGGGGGGATGGGCTGAAGAGAGGAAGGCACACCTCGTTTACCTCTTACTGTGCAGACTTATTTCGCTCGAGTGGCGATGGCCTGGACCGCGCACCGCTTCCGCTTGCCTCATTCACCCTCGAGACTTTGCCGTACAACAACAAAGAGGAAGGACAATTGAAAAGGGTAGAGGGGTCGCGTGCAACAAAGAGGGGGGATGGGCTGAAGAGAGGAAGGCACACCTCGTTTACCTCTTACTGTGCAGACTTATTTCGCTCGAGTGGCGATGGCCAGGCCCGCGCACCACTTCCGCTTGCCTCATTCACCCTCGAGACTTTAAAAACAACACTGTCATCAACAATAGAGAGCGCAGGTAATTGCGTCCCGATCTGAGACGCATGAAATTGAGTCTCCCTCTTACTCACTCATCCACCTGTGCCTCACTCATGCGAGTCTCCACCGCCCTCCTTTTCCTGCCTCTACCATACGTGCGAAATGCTGCTTGCACTACCATCCCCTCTCTCCACATCTTCTTCACTTGGTTGCCGCTCTCCTTGTCGCCCTCCTCGTCTCCCTCCTCGCTGCCCTCCTCCTCCTCGCACTCTTCCTCACTCTCCTCCTCGCCCTCCTCTTTTCCCTCCTTCTCGCCCTCCTCCTGGCCCTCCTGCTCGCCCAATCCCTCCTCGCCCTCCTCCTTGCCCTCCTCGCCCTCCTCTTTGCCCTCCTCGCCCTCCTCCTCGCCCAATCCCTCCTCGCCCTCCTCTTTTCCATCCTCCTCCTGCCTTACCTGTACAACACTGTTCAACCGGTGTATCTTCCAGAGCCGTTGGGCGGCGTTGTACGCCTGAAGAGGCGTCAAGGTGGGGTTTTCGCGGAAGATCTGAACCATGCGCGCGGGACACCACCGAGTCATCTTGCTTTGGACCGCGCTTAAGGCCCGCTTTTGCTTGCTAACATGGTGAATCACCCTCATGATCCTTACAATAAGGCAGGGTAGGGGTCCCTATTATTTTGTTTGGACTTGTTTGTGTAGGTCCTTCTTTTGAAAAACAAATCTTTCATACAGGCCTAATAATTCAATATGGTTTTATGTTAATGGGTTGATGCGGATTAGTAGGATTGATTATGACACTAATAAATACATCAAGATTACAGGGGGGTATAGCACGCACGTCCCAATCTGAGACGCATGAAATTGAGTCTCCCTCTGACTTGCATCCACCTGTGCCTCACTCATGCGAGTCTCCACCGCCCTCCTTTTCCTGCCTCTACCATACGTGCGAAATGATGCTTGCACTACCATCCCCTCTCTCCACATCTTCTTCACTTGGTTGCCGCTCTCCTTGTCGCCCTCCTCGTCTCCCTCCTCGCAGCCCTCCTCCTCCTCGCACTCTTCTTCACTCTCCTCCTCGCCCTCCTCTTTTCCCTCCTCCTCGCCCTCCTCCTGGCCCTCCTGCTCGCCCAATCCCTCCTCGCCCTCCTCCTTGCCCTCCTCGCCCTCCTCCTTGCCCTCCTCGCCCTCCTCCTCGCCCAATCCCTCCTCGCCCTCCTCTTTTCCATCCTCCTCCTGCCTTACCTGTACAACACTGTTCAACCGGTGTATCTTCCAGAGCGTTGGGCGGCGTTGTACGCCTGAAGAGGCGTCAAGGTGGGGTTTTCGCGGAAGATCTGAACCATGTGCGCGCGGCACCACCGAGTCATCTCGCTCTGGACCGCGCTTAAAGCCCGATTCTACTTGCTAACATGGTGAATCACCCTCATGACCCTTACAAAAAGGCAGGGTAGGGGTCCCTATTTTTTTCTTTAGACTTGTTTGGTGTAGGTCCTTCTTCTGGAAAATAAATATTTCATACATGCCTAATAATTCAATATGGTTTTATGTTATTGGGTTGATGCGGATTAGTAGGATTGAATATAACACTCATGAATAAATCAGGATTACACGGGGGTATAGCACGCACGTCGCTAAACTTTCTACAACAATCAGTAGCAAAATATCATATTCAGCGGTTGTGCGCGTCACCTTGACGTCCTGGCGCGCGGCCGCCAAGACACAGAATACCAGCAAAAAGGTACGAGCACGATAGCATATTATAAGCACCCAATTACATATATTTGCCCATCCCACCCAACCATCCTAAATTTTCCCCATTCCACCCACACTCACTTTAGACCGCAACACCCTTCATCGTCTCATCTGTCATTTTTTCGCACAGACTTCAGTTTCATGATTCATCCATTCTAGCTCTGATTGTAGCCTCCCCACTCCTCCCTCCGCACGTTAGCTCATTGAGTTACCTTTCGCACGTTTGCTTTTGACAAACAACGACCCCACTCTCTCCCACGAACGTGCCTCGGTTATTTAAAGCCAGTTCCTATGCGTGTGGGGAACGAGCTTTTCGTAAACAGACGCGCGTCAAAGGGCATGCATTGCCCACAACTAAAGGTCCCACCTCCACACCTTCTGTTGCCATGACACCAGCTCCTTAGGCAGCCGATCCAACACTTCAATCGGTGGATGTTGCATGGGATTGGAGTTCCTCGAAGCGCAAGCCCGCCGAAAGTGGCGTGCGACAAAAAGGCGACGACGGAAGCTACGCTTCACTCGTGAGGCTAGTCCTGTCGACGAATTGGCCGATGAAGATTAGGACCCCTCCCCTCCCCTCCCCCCCCCCCCCCCCAAGATACTCGCAATTTCGAAGTCGCCTTTGCAACCGCACACACGCGATATAGGACTTCGTGTGAAGTTTTATTCCTGTGGCTTGTCTTATCATACACTGATGACATATTTCCTATGTTGAAATGCAGCATCTACATGGAGCATGGTGCGAACAATGCTAACACGGCATATGGCAAGAGCGGAGATGGTGGTCGTAACATGCGGAAGCAAAGCATCCGTATCCATCAACACTCCACAGCACATATGAATGCCCACGCTTCAATGAAGGTGAAGTAGATACGGAAGATGTGTCAAACGTTACTGAATGAGTTAAGGGACTCGACAAGAGCATCCTTCATCTCATAACTGCATTGAAGACTGCAGTTTTCACATGCAAACCAAAGCTCCGATCACATTTCACATGCAAGAGGTGGGAATGCCAAGTCTCTAGCTAGATAAGTGGAAAAGCTATTATACAGAGTAAACATTCGAATGGTAAAAAGGTGTTATTTGTCCTTTTGTTTTTGTTGCGAACTGTTTTTGAATGCTTCGTCATGAATGTGTATGGATTCGGCGAGTTGCTTAAGACCGCTTCGTAGTATCTACGCCATAAATAACTTCAACAAATCGCAATGAGTCCTTACCTTGGCATCACGTTGGGTGAGAGTATAAATTGGGTGCGCGTATAACATGTTATTGTGTACGTTAATTATTAGCAAGGCGATGTGATCGTTACGGAATTCCTGTTGCTGCTATCTGTTGAGAAGTGTGACGTCGCAAGCTTATTATGTTCTGCTAACGCATATACAGTCGATAGACATCGACAGCAGCAGCGACGGGGCTGCTTTGATGATCGAAGAACATATTGGTCTTGTCGCCCGTCTGAAAGTGAAGGACCCATGCCTCGTTTCTTATGGGTGTATCACCAATCAATAAGAACAATGTTTGATTTTGAGGGGAGGGCCAAATTCGTTGTACCCCTAGTATCGATGTTACCACCTCTCAAGAACTAAATATATTGAATGCATGATGTTTGCAGCGAGGTTCATGCAGCCAAGGAAGCTTATGGAGTTAAATATCATCAACCGAGCAGTCCCTACCACGACACAGTTGCTATCATAGAACTCCATGTACCACAAACGGTCCCGGCATGTGCAGGAGATCGTCCGCAAGACGAACCTCGACTTAGAGGGCATTTATGTCGTAGAGTGGTTATCACGGGGGGGAGGAGGCGAAGCGCTTCGCCAAGGTAATACTGGCGGCAATGCTCTTGCTACACAAGAAGATACGATGTACAATGCCAACGCATTGTTCAAGTTTCACATTGTCTACTTCCTCGCCGATTTTTTGGGCATCCTTAACGAGTTGAACACTAAGTTCGAGCAAATCATCCCTGGCTTGTTGAAGTCTGATCCATTGACAACGAGGACCGGTCTGGCATAGATCGATCTCCTCTCCTTAATGAATTTATAAAGAAGCTCGCTGACCTACTCCACCGAGAAGTAATAGTCGATGGAGTCGACCGTGACGATGCTCCATCGGTTCACACGTTCCATCTATACGAGTGGGCAATCATAGGTCAATCCAGTCAATGTCATTACTGCTCGTGCAAGAATATTTGTCAAGAGTATAAGTGTGAGACAAAGGCACGACTGGAGTATATACTAGAGGGTTCGAGAACACAAATGGCTCCAGAATACTAGGACCAGCTATGTATCCCAAGAACAACAGTTTATGTACCACATATGGCGTGCCCTTCAAAGTGGCGAAAGAGATGAGACTCGACAAGGTCAAAAAAAGAATCACTTCAATTTACATCCACCCATGCATTTGCTCTTGCATCAATGGCAGCAATAAAAAGGGCAACACCATCACAGCATGAAAGTTGTCATGCCTTGTTCACCATCATCATTCGCTTTCCTGGCCTCCTCTTTTGACCAGCCGGCCTCCAGGTGTTATGCTTTTGCAATTGTCAAACCCGGGCTAGAGCCAGGCGACAACCAGCCTATCTCTTCTATTGCCTTTGCTTCCTTAAAAGCCTCTCCAAAGCACTCCGATGCCACAGTGATCACCTCTGCCGATCCTCGGTGAGTCGAGCCTCGGTAAACCACCTCTGGTATAGTGGTGCGCTTTTTTCCACATCGTCACCTTTGCCGTCATTTACCCCGTCGGCACCTCCCCATAGAGCTCTGCTATGACCCCCGCCAGAATATGTGTTAACAGGAATGGAGTGTTGGCCCCGCCCTCGCTTGGGCAACGCCGACGACTTGGTCGGATGTACGGGAGTAGCAGCCGACCGTTCACAGTGGGAGAGCTGCTCAACAGGCATCGTCGAGCTGCAGGGGACCACTGTGGTGCTGCTGTCGACCAGGAAGCTCGACAGCTGCAACTGACTGGTCTGGGCGACGGGTGGGCCGTCGACCAGGAGGGGCAGTTCGACCGGGAGGTCTCCGTCGACCTGCAGCTCGACCAGGGGGTCCCCGTCGACCTGCAGCTCGACCGGGAGCAGTCTGTCGATCTGCAGCTCGACCGGGAGCAGTCTGTCGTTCTGCAGTTCGACCGGGAGCTCGACGGAGCAGTCCATCGACCTGACAAGTGGGCAGCGGTCGACGAGGGGAGCTCGGCGACAACCGCTGACGGTTCTGGTCGACGGAAGGGGTCCGTCGACCAGGGGGTAGCTCGACGGGAGCTGTGGTCGACCAGGGGCGCCTGGTGGTCGACCAGAGGGACCTGGTGGTCGACCAGAAGCAGTGGTGGTCGACCGGAAGCACCTGGTGGTCGACCGGGTCGACCGGGTAACCTGCTCGACGAGTTCTGCGGGGGCACGCGAACGTCGTCGAGGTCGCAATGGCGCAGGCGACTGCGGGCTGGTATCCCGAAGTCGATGTGGCTCGTCAGGCGCAGATAACAGCCGACGGATGCCCAAGGAGGCAAGTCGGGCCAATCGTCTGCGCGCACCTGCGAGCGTGCGCACTGCTGTGTTCTACGGGGCAACGCTGGACAGCCGCTCTGCTGCAGCGTTGGCACGCCGTCGACCTGCTCTGTTGGCAGGTCGCCCTTCTGCAGTGGCTGGCGCGGCTCCTCTACGCAACGCTGGCAGGCGGTCGACCGAGCTGTGCTGGCGGTCGACCAGGCTAGTTGCAGGGTTGCTAGGTGCCTGATGTAGTCATTCTGTCATTGCTTGTTCAATCATTCTGTAGTTCCAACTTTGCTAGTGGAAACTCTTTCCGATTTCTCTCGTGAATGTGCAAGCACTAAGGAACCAAGCAAAGCTACGATCACTCCTAGTAGTTCGTGCCAACCCCCGTAGTCTAGCTCACTACCGTTGTAGAGTGTCTCTCCGCATGGTGCGGTGATCGTGGACGGCCCCGCAAATACCTTCAGATAGGAGCCGACTTTTGCACCTACTAAGTCGTTCGTAGGCCGGCAGTAGCGATAGTCACCATGGTCGACCCCGTAGTTGATGCGGGCGTAGCGGACACCTTGGAGGCACGTTTGGCTGACGCAAGGAGACGCCACGCGGATGGCGAGTACGGGACGATCCCCTTGGTGATCGTCGAGTTGGGCATCCGGTCACAGTGGGTGACGGAACACCCTTCCCGTCCTGCATCTCCTCGACCGGTGCGCAACGAGGGTGGCGTCAACGACGAGGTCAACGGTGGTGCACGAGTCAGCGGCAGCGAAGGCACGAGGCAGAGTGGGGTGATCAAGGTCGGCGGAGGCGTCGACGGAATCCAGGCACGAGTGCAGCGGTCGACGGCGGCTGCAGGCAACTCGCGTGCCGACGTCGATGTTTGACGTCGCTCTCCTCTACGAAGCGGTGGAGGGCTCTCGGCGACGACGCATGTGACGGCGGGCGGGATTGCACCGGCGTATGGCTACTTCAAGTTCTCGCCGGACCGGATCACTGTCGCACCGCTGCAAGGTCGACGGGACCTCATCACCTGGAGGGAGTCGATCGAACCTCAGCTGGAGGTCGCCGGGCTGAAGGGCTTCGCCGACGGCACAGTGCCAATTCCACCCGTGGACGATGTCGAGCTGC